CCCCTTCTCCTCCACATAATGGTCCTCAATGTGAGGAGAAGTGCCGCTTGCTTCTCCTCGGCCGTTCAGTCGGGGCCTATGTCTCATTGTTCTTGCTTGCGTTGTGGCTTTGATGTTCATGTTCGTGCTGTGGATATTTCTTGATTTTCCCAACCATCCTGTGGTGTTGGGTCCTCGTTTTTTTACATGCAGCGCCCAACGTCCCTCACCTCACCTCCCCCCTCCCTCCTCCCTCCTCCCGTCCCTGCCTCTGCCCTCCGCACGTCCATTTCGGCCCGTAGACAGCTCCGCCCAAAGCCACAATGGCAACGTTGGCATGCTGTTCCCCGCGCAGTCTCGGCATACCCCTCACACGTTTCGCGGCCGCATCGGGAGCCCCACCGAACGCACCAGTGGCAAAGTTCGCATGCGGTTCCCCGCCGATTTCGGCACACCCCTCACACGCTTCGCGGCCCCATAGGGAGCGCAGGAGCGCCACCGTGTGCCTCTGTGGCAAAGTTAGCATGCGGTTCCCCACCCATTTCGGCACACCCTCACACGTTTCGCGGCCCCATAGGGAGCTCCAGCGAAGGCCACAATGGTAAAACCCGCATGCGGTTCCCCCCCATTTCGGCACACGCCTCACACGTTTCGCGGCCCCACAGGGAGCTTCACCGAAGGCCCCAATGGCGAGGTTATGTCGGCACACCCCTCGGCACACTGCTCACATGCTTCGAGGCACCGTTGGTAGCTACACCAAACGTGGTTACGCAACGCGGTACCCAGAACTGCAAATGATTGGACCCCCCGCCCGGATAATTTGATGATGTCTGGTACCCTTTCCCTTCCAAGGCCTGCCGCCTCATCCCCTCCCAAACGAGACGTGCGATAACTTTCATGTATGTAAGTATGTTTGCATGCATGCATGCATGCAAGTCTGCACGTGTGCAAGTAGGTGTGTATGTATGTATGTGTGTGTATGTATGTATGTATGTGTATGTATGTGTGTATATATGTATGTATGCATGCATGTGTGTATGTATGTATGTACGTGTGTAGGTATGTATGTATGCATGCATGTATGTATGTATGTATGTATGTATGCATGTATGTATGTATGTAACTATGCGTGTGCATGTATTTACGTATGCATCTATGCATGCATTCATGCATGTGTGCGTGTACACACCTACGTATTTACGTATGTATGTATGTTTGTATGGTTGCTTTTATACAAAGATATAACACATACAACTATATCGATAAAAGCAAACATAGAGGAGCGAGCAATAGAGAGAGAGAGAGAGATAGAGAGGACTATATATATAGTGAGAGGGAGAGAGAGAGAGAGAGAGAGAGAGAGAGAGAAAACGAGAGAGAAAGAGAGAGATAGAGAGAGGAAGAAAGAGAGAGAGAGAGAGAGAGGGAGAGAGAGAGGGATATATATTTATATATATATATGTAGGGGGAGGGAGACAAACAAGTGAGGGGAGGGACCAGCAACCAGCAACAGACAAAGCGCATGAACGAGACAAAACAGTAAGATCTTACTTCCGATCCCAATTCCCAAGAACAAATCTACGATGATCCTTCCGAACGCTGGATGCATTACTCCAAACGCCACGCAGAGCTCGCTGGGCTCTCCAGCCCCCGCCTGTAAACGTGCGCGCGCACTAACAACCAGCGTACTGCTGGCGACAATACGGTTGTGGCGAATGGCAGTGACTGTATCTACTACGATATCTGCCACCCTCAGAGTGGTCCGAGGACGAGAACGGGCTTTTCAAAGAGGGCACCGCCGAATGAGGGAGAAACCTCTCCTGAGGAGGGGTTGCAAGGGAGTGGGACACCAAACCTGAAGAGGGTTCCAGGAGGGGCTTTCTGGGGAGAGCCCGTCTTTATGAAAGGGAAGGCCTATCCTGAGGAGGGGGATCACGAGGTGCTGTCTAGGGAAAAAAACTCTGAGGGGGGCGGAATCCCCCAGCTGGTGAAGGGAAAACCCGTCCTGCCCGTCCTGAGGAGGGGTTCAATGAGGGGCTTTGCGCCAAAACAACCATTCTGAACAGGAGTTCCAGGTCCAACGGAGAATCCCTTTCCTAACGCCCCAGAGCGGGACAAGCGTGAACACACGTGGGTTCCTAACGCCCCAAATCAATGCTAGCGTGACAACGCGCGCGTGCGTTCCTGACGCCCCCAAACGGAACAAGTATAAAAAACGTTTGTTCCTAACGCCCCAGAGCGGGACAAGCGTGACAACACATAGGTTTCCAGCGCTCCAGAGCTGGACAAGAGTGGAATCACGTGGATTCCTAATGCCCCCGAGCGGGACAAGCGTGACAGCACGTGGGTTCCTGACGCCCCAGAGCGGAATAAGCATGAAAACACTTGGTACCCTGACGCTCCAGAGCGGGACAAGCGTGATAACGCATGGGTTCCTGACGCCCAAGAGCGGGACAGGCGTGAAGACACATGGTTCCTAACGCACCAGAGCGGGACGGCGTACGCGCCTCCCCCCGTCGGCGCATCCCCTAGCTCGTCTTAAGTCGGGCCTGTCACCCTACAGGGGGATTTTCGACGAAAAATACCCCCCCCCCAAAAAATAATCAAAAATAGTCTGGGGACTATTGTTTGAATATTTTTTAGTTCTTATTGGGGTATTTTCGGAGTACTTTTTATTTTTTGTCGAAAATCCCCCTGTAGGGGGGCAGGCCCGACTTAAGGCTCGTCCTCTGTCGCGTTCTCTGGCTTATCCCCCGGCGTTGTCTCTGCCCGTTCGGGGGCGCGTGCCTTGCCACGTCCTCTGACACGTCCCTGGCGCATCCCGTCGTGTGCCCCTGGCACATTCCGTGGCGCGTGACCCGCTTCGGAACTGAGTCGGATCTTAAGCTCGAGCTGATTGAGCGTCCCACATGCTTCGACTGCAACCAGCTCTGGGCCAGCTGTGCGCTCAGGCAGCTCGAGCTTAAGTTCCAGATCAGTTCGGTCAGGATTCGGAGGGCCAAGGGCGACTTTATCCATAACGTTATAGAGCACTGCGCAATTCATCGCGGCATGACACATCTCAATTCAGCGCGGTACAGCACAGCACATTCCTTGGCACGGTACGTCACGATCGATACCTCCAACATTGCAACTGCCTGTCTCCCAAATCAGATGTCTTGAGCACATGGCCATGCCGCTCGTTTCTAAATTCCTTTCCCAGTCGTGGGCCGATCATGTTTGTGTCTTTCGCAAGATCTCGAACAACAGCAGATGACATCAACGTGAACTCTCGGAGGTCCGCGCGGATTTCTTGGATCGGCGCTGGAGCCCTTCTGGCGGCGCCTCCGTCGCCGCCCCTGGCGCGCACCGCGCGCCGGGGAAGGGGGATCTAACGCCCATCCAAGGAATCCGCGCGGACCTCCCGAGGCTTATGCCGATTTTTTTTTTTTTTTTTTTGTTGTTTTCAGGGCTGGACCTAAACGTTGTTTTTCGTTTTGTTGTCGCTTTGCTCTTCCTGTGCTACGGCACCTCTCTGCCAGGACGAAAAACAAAATACCGCCGAAATCCAGCAAGACAGCGTTTAGGTCCAGCCCTGTGCTTTCTTGGTTTTTGCTTCAAGTCGGGCGTGTCCTCCCTACAGGCGGATTTGGGAGGACAAACAAACAATACCCCCAACAAAACACCCAAATGGTCAAAACATGCCCACAACAATCGTCCCGCGTTTTTTTTTTTTTTTTGTTTTTCTTTTTTTGTTTTTCTTCTTCTTTTTTGTTGTTGTGTGTGCTTTATTCATTGTTGTTATTAAGATTATTGATATCATACTCTAAGTCGTCTAATTATTTATATGTATAAATACATATACACACATATATATATATACATATATAGATTTATTTATTTACTTATTTTTATATATATATATATTTATGTAGTCAAGACTTTTTTATACATAGATGTATATATATGTATAAAACTGATCCTCCTGTAGAGGGGCGAGCCCGGAAACTTGCCGCCTCAGCCATCCGGGCCCCGCGGGCCCCTCCCCCCCAGCGGCCTGGGAAAGTCGACCCACCTGGCAGTGCGCCCTGCAGTGCGGCGGAACGCCCCTGGCCCGGCACCCTCGGCCTGCACGTCCGCAGGCAATCATCGCCCCCCCCGCCCCCCCCCCCAATGGATGCGCGAGGGGGGTCGGGCACGTGCTGCTGGAGGAGGAGGAGGAGGAGGAGGAGGAGGAGGAGGAGGAGGAGGACCACCAAGGAGGGAGGGTGGAGGTGAAGGAGGAGGGATGGGAGGGGGGGGGGGATGGGCAAGCTCAGTCGGAAGAAGGCCCATCCCCTCCGCCCCCCCGACAAGTGCTCCATCCAGAGTAATGGGGCAGGGCAATGCTGGCCGTGCACCCGCGAACAGGGGAGCTCCTCCTCTGCTCGCGGAGCCGCGGCGAGGCTCCGCGGGGAGAGGGCTTCGGGATCGGCCTCCCGCCCCGCGAGGGAAGCTCCCGCCCCCGCGGGCCCTCCTGAGCGGCAGGCTCACGCCGCCGCAACCTCGGCGCTGGCTTCCGACAACGCGTGGGTCATTCGGCCCCCCAGAGATCCGAGGCTCCGACAAAACTGGAGCGGCCAGTTCTGGGCAATCTTCGGCTTCTGGGGGCCTTGAGCAGGCCCCGGGGCCGTGAAAAAAACACTCCTGATGAAAAACTGGCCCTGGAGTCCAGGCCTCCAGGGGTCCACGCATCGAAACAAAAGGAGCCCCGGATGTCTGGGCCCCGAACGGTCGCGGCTTTCCGACAGCGCAGACTGTTCGGGCGTTGCCTGATGGGGGGGCGAAGACAAGTGCCCCTTTCGTGCACCGTCGGGGCTCCAGGGGGCACCACTGAGGGCCCGCTTCCTGCCATCCTCGATCCACCCCCATTCGCCTCCGAGCCGCTAGCGGCGTTCAACCCAGAGCACCCACGCTGGGGTCGCCGCCGGGTCGATGCGGCGCGGACTCGCGGAAACCCGCAACCCCCCTTTCCCAACTCCCTCTTTCGGACCGCCCAAGTCCATTGCGCGCAGATCCCTGCCGTCCGCCAGCCGGAAACGGGCGGCGCTGACCGGTATACCCTGGTGAGCGTTTTCTTATTCGGCGTTTCGACATTGGGCGGAAGGGGGGGGAGGGGGGGGTCTGGCTCCAGACCTCTGCTTGGTGCGACTGTCTGCGAAAGGGCGTCCTGTGGGGGGAGACTCCACCTGCCTGAGAAGAGGCGCCAAAAACAGCCAAGCTCCCCTCCAGGGAGGGGGGGGGAGAGGGGGGGGGGTGCGAAGGCCCGCGCCGATCGGCAAAGCGGTGAACAAGAAAACGATCGCCTGGTGCTTGCACCACGTCTTCATCATCTTCGCGAAGGGCGTGGTCACCTTCATCTTGGCGTCTATGACGCTCCGGTTCTCGGCCGATCTCGCCACCATCTCCACATCGAGGGTCTCGACCTGGCCAGGAAGGAAATGAGGAGGAGGAGGAGAAGGAGGAGGAGGAGGAGGAGGAGGAGGAGGGCGGAGGAGGAGGAGGAGGAGAGGAGGAGGAGGAGGAGGAGGGGAGGAGGAGGAGGGAAGGAGGGAGAGGAGGAGGAGGAGAGGAGGAGGAGGAGGAGGGGAGGAGGAGGAGGAGAAGGAGGAGGAGGAGGAGGGAGGAGGAGGAGGAGGAGGGATTGAGGATAGGATGAGGATGAGGAGGATGAGGATGAGGATTGAGGATGAGGATGAGGATGAGGATGGAGGTATGAGGATGAGGATGATGCGGAGGAGGAGGAGGAGAGGAGGAGGAGGAGGAGGAGGAGGAGGAGGAGGAGGAGGAGGAGGAGGAGGAGGAGGAGGAGGAGGAGGGAGGAGGAGGGAGGAGGAGGGAGGAGGAGGAGGAGGAGGGAGGAGGGAGAGGGAGGAGGGAGGAGGGAGGAGGGAGAAGGGAGGACGGAGGAGGGAGGGAGGGAGGAGGGGAGAAGGGAAGAGGGAGGAGGGAGGAGGGAGGAGGAGGAGGAGGGGAGGAGAAGGAAGGAGGCAGGAGGAGGAGGAGGAGGAGGAGGAGGAGGAGGAGACGGAGGAGGAGGAGGAGAGGAGGGAGGAGGGAGGAAGGAGGGGAGGGAGGAGGAGGAGGCGAGGAGGAGGGGAGGAGGAGGAGGAGGGAGGAGGAGGAGGAGGAGGAGGAGGAGGAGGAGGAGGAGGAGGAGGAGGAGGAGGAGGAGGAGGAGGAGAAAGAGAAAGAGGAGGAGGAGGAGGAGGAGGAGGAGGGAGGAGGAGAGAGGAGGAGGGAGGAGGAGGAGGAGGAGGAGGAGGAGGAGGAGGAGGAGGAGGAGGAGGAGGAGGAGGAGGAGGAGGAGGAGGAGGAGGAGGAGGAGGGCAGGAGGGAGGAGGAGGAGGAGGGAGGAGACGGAGGAGGAGGAGGAGGAGGAGAGGAGGAGGAGGCAGGAGGAGGAGGAGGAGGAGGAGGAGGAGGAGAAGGAGGAGGAGGAGGAGAAGGAGGAGGAGCAGGAGCAGGAGGAGGAGGAGGAGGAGGAGGAGGAGGAGGAGCAGAGGAGGAGGAGGAGGAGGAGGAGGAGGAGGAGGAGGAGGATGAGGAGGAGAAGGAGGAGGAGGAGGAGGAGGAGGAGGAGGAGGAGATCACCACTGAGGACCAGTGTCCTTGCCTTGCCAGAAACAGGGATGTGCAACCCACATCACAGCAGAGATCGGGCCACTTCAAGCGCCCCCTGGGGGCACGGGTGCTGGCCCTTAGAAATTCGCACGAGGTTACACTGTCCCCTCTTGGAGCGCGCCGCTCCCGTGACGGCGGGCCCGCAAGGACGCGAGAGGTGGCGTCCGTCGAGGGTCGCAGTGAAACCGCACAGCATACAAAATTTCAGACACATGTGATCCCAGGACCAAATCTGATGGCTGGGGTCAACCATTCGGCCCCCCACCCACACCGTCCCCGACTCCCGCCGAATGGTGACCCCAGACATATTGGGGGTGGTGGCGGAGGAGGAGGAGATGGGAGGGGGGCGGCACGGCCTCCTCGCGGCCGCCTCAAGGGCGGTGGTGGTGGCGACCTCGCCACATGTGGAGCACCTCCACCTACCACCTGCGCGCTGGAAGGCGTGGGCGGAGTCCCGCAGAACCTGGACTCTGCGGGAGATTCGCTGGCGCGGCACGGCAGGGCCCGCCCACTCTCCTTCCCACGGATCAACAGCAGCAGTGTCCTGGAGGGCCTGGGACGCACGACGGCGGACGAGCCAAGCGATCACATCAAGCTCGTCCGTCCTCGGCACTTCCTTGGACGCGGTGGCTAACTGAAAACCGCGGGCAGCAGCATCGCTAGCGAGGTCATCAGCCACGGCGTTTCCAAAAGACAGGAAGGCCTGCCAACGGGTGCGGATGCCCCCTTCCTCATCCTCAAGATGGGAGGGGGTCCAAAATACACGGACAGGGTGGGGCCTCCGAGCGTGCGCCTGACGGATCCTCACCCAAAGGTCTGCATTCTGCTCCTTAGGAGCCTTCCGAACACCCCTCCCCATCTGCCAGGCTCTATACAGGGGGAGGTGATCGGTGATTTAATCGAGGGGACCATGGGTTAACTCCAGGGCCAAACAAAAAGCGAGCAACTCCGCGCGCGGGACCGTCTCTCTGGGGCCCACGAGAGGCGCAGAGGCCGCCCAAACAGTGCTCCACGAGAGATCGGCGACGGGGTCCGCCTGGAGAATGACAACTCCCGCCCCGCACCGCCGACGACGCGGATCACTGGAGTACTCACCTCCAGATCCGCCTCCAAACACGATGAGGGGGCCCTGGAGGGGATCCGACACAGCAGCACTGGGGTTCCCCATAAGAAGCAGCCCTTTCTCAAGCACAGAACCCTCCGACAACTCAGGCACCACCTGCTTCTCGGGGGGAACCCCTCGGAGCCAAAGGCTGGGCTCGCTCTCATGGGGGGCCACGGCACGGGCGAGGAGGCGGTCACTTTTCCTGTACGCATCATGATCACAGTTGGCTGGACACAGCCATACACGGTGCAGGAGCGTCTCGGGCTCCCGCCCACAACGTCTGCACAGCGGCTCCGTGGCGTAGCCCTGTGCACGTTGTCGTTCACGAGTCCACTGGCCTCCAGACACCACTGTCAACGTGAGGCCCCAGTTCTCCATGTCCTGCTTGCGTTCGTACTTGTCAAGCTCACGCTTGATCTGAAAGAAATCAGCTCCATGTTGTAGGTCAGCTGCTCCCTCAAATTGACTGGACTTCCTCCAAAGCTGGTGTCGGAGGTCTGCCGTGAATTCATGTAACATAACGTGAAGATCGACTTGCTGGTACTGAGGTGTGCCCGCTCTGGGGAAGATCCATTCAATGCCAGCAATAGTCCGAGTCCAAACTCCTGGTTGCTTGCATTCCCAACCTGCATCGACCAAGGTGGCAATAACTGCAGCAACTGGGCCACGAACTCTCTGCCATCTAGCCTTGCCACCGACCACTACAGCATTGTGGATGCGCAACCATGCCCAACGAATGGGATCGTGGTATTGAGGATTGTCAAACCAGACACGAAGCCATGCCTCCAAGAGTTGACGAGGAAAATCAAGTCCTGGGCCCCGCTGAGCAAGGGTCGCTTCCAGCACCGAGGTCAGGCATCTGCCTCGCTTGGTACCTGCAATGGCCGACCCTGCCTGGCGCCTGACCTCCAACATCGTGCTGGGAGGCGTGCCAAGAACTTGATGGCCGTAGCAACCCTGTGGTAAAACTCCCGTGCTCCAGAGTGATCTGCAGACTCTGCGAACTTTGGGTCCGAGACGACGGAGGCGAATAACTCTACCGTGACGCCGACGAGCTGCTGCCAGACGTTGGTTAGCCTTCTTCTTTACTCTCCTGCGCCCAGCACTGACATCAACGCCCAGGTCCGTGGCCGCCAGCTTGTAGGATACTGGGATGCCAAGTCGCCTCATAATCCTGGCCATGCGGAGGCCCAAGGACTTGGACGACGCAATGAGATCAGTTTTGTCCGAGACTACCAGCCTGTACTCCAAGAAGGCCGCTCTGAACTCGGCTGCAGCCTCAGTCATATTGGCAATGACGATCTCTTCATCATCATTCTCATCGCGTGCCACAGTGTCATCAATGTAGGTGGCCAGCATAGGATGTGGGGCGACCTTGTGCACCCTCTCCAGGATGGGGTGGAGGAAGACCTTGGCGAGTTGAACCCCTTTGGGGCTGCCTGCCACCAACGATCGGGTGACGATCAGGAGGTCACTCGCCCACTGCTTGAGCTGGAGGGTCCTTGGGGCGATACACATCTGCACCTCCATGAGGACCACAATGGCAGGATATCCCACCTTGATGGCTGTGCGCATAAGGATGCACAGCGATACACTATCGTAGAACTTCTCCAGGTCTAGGAGGAGGGTCAGGAAATGCTTCTTGTTGACCAGCCCCGCTTCGTCGAGGAGAGATCGAAGCATGGCGGCCCGAAGGGCCGAGGACCCCGCCAGCGCCGTGTCCCAGAAGTCGCTGAGCCCCTTGGACCATTCTGCAGCTGGTCCAACTCGAGTCTGACTCCAAACCTTCCCAGTGGTGGGGAGGAGCCCCAATGCTCTATCTCCGCCTCTGGGCTTGGCTGCCAGTGCCCCAATCGTCGCATGGATCTGCCTCGGCCATGAGCCTATAGCTTCCGCACGATTGAGGAAGTCCACTAGCATCTGCTTGCCTGACACGGGTAGCCTGGCAATATCGTTCACGCTGATGTTATCAACTCCCTTGGCCTTGTTGGCCGACATACGAGCTAGTGCATTCTCCAGCTCCTCTAGTGTGATGGGGTCGATGTCCTGCTTCTTCGCCATCCGCAGCGTCTGACCGATCTCGTAGACGATGTCTTCCATGGTGTCAACTTTGTCCGTCCAGACGTTCTGCCAGTACTTGTGGCGGCTGTTCATGATGAGAGCAGGGTCGGCCATGCCTTCAACTTCCGCGGTATCAGCCTGGGGGTCCTTCACATGACGGTGCAAGATCCCAAGCTTCTTGGACCACGTTTCTCGTATCCACTTCATGAAGCTGTGTTGGCCCTTGGCAAAGGCCCGTGCTTGAGCTCGTCTCTCGAGGAACTCCGTGCGGTCGTTAACCTTGTCCAAGAAGTCGAGGGACAGGGTTGCCTGTGCCGGTTGTGCTGGGCCAACTTCAAGTGGAACTTCTGCTGGTTCCAGGTCGGCAGGGGAGCCAACTTCCTCCTCGTGTTCAAGCTGAGCGAACACGTCATCTTCATCATCCATATTAGTGCGACGAACCAGCCCGCTGCTGCCGTCGATGTCCTTGCGCCGCAGGTCGGGCTCGCTCCCTACGGCATTCGCCTGGCCTCCCAACTGTCCCCACTCTGCTCCCTTACTACCGCCCCTTGCGGGGTTGGTGGGCTCGCATTGTGGGTCCAGGGGCTCTGCGGGGGGGCCGACCTGCAGCAATGGGGCCGAAGTAGACGAGGAAGC